TTTTTTGTTTACTATGTAAAAATTCAATATACCACGTAGATCATATGAAAATTGATCTACATACACCCTACCCTTAAACTAAGTTGAATAAGTTTGCGTAGACCAATTAGAAATTTTTGTCAGGATACTAATCGTATTTTCGCGTGACATTAAATATTCATTATAAATGTATTATGAATAAGATACTGACTATATAAACAACACATGCATCCGTAATTAAAACTCTATATTTCTTTAAATTTTGCCAGCAATCATTTAATTTAGCATTAAATACATTTTAAGACTAATATTCATCTATATAATATAGTGGAATAAGATACTGTAAAAATTTTTAATAAATAAGAAAATATTACTATGGATGCGCCTTCATAAATGCATGTTACATAAACATATATTTTATATAATTTAAAATTTTATATTATATAATTAATTTAAATGTAACTTTGAGAATTCTACAGTACTAATATATTCTGAAATTTTATTCGTATCATATAACTTGCTGGTATAGATAACTTGTGAATGTATTTGTTTAATAGGTTCTGGTTTAATTTTATTAGCTTCCACAAATTGTTTTTTTACTTCATTATAATCTTTCTGATCTATTTCATCTAACCAATGAGTAATTATTTCAATAATTTCTTTTGCAGTAGGTCGTTTAGCGTTATCTTTGTCCATACATTTCATAGCTAATTTAACATAACAATCTGGTCCTAAGCATTTAGGTCTTGATCCACCAATAATTGTTGATACAAGTTCATCATTAAACGAGATTCCATCAAATGGCCTTTGTCCAGTTGAAATCTCTGTCGCGATAACTCCAAAACTATAAATATCCGATGCTTGAGTATACGGTTGACCCACCAAAACCTCAGGTGCTATATACGGCAAAATTCCACAAATTTTTCCTTCTTTTACTTTTCTAGAAGGCCCAAGATCTGTGATATATGCATCATGCAATGCATAAGTTTGCAAAATATTTCCACTGTGTAAATCTCTGTGAACAAGTTCCTGCGAATGAATCGACTCAAGATCCAAAGCTATACCGTACAAAATATTCAATTTATCTTTCCATTCTAATTGTGCTACTTGTACAAGATTTTGTAGTAACGAACCTTTTGCTGCAATCTGCATCACAATAATATAATCACCACGATCATTTTTTGACACTCCAGAACAGTTCAAGAATGAAGGATTCTTGTATCCGATTTCACAGTAATTCTTCAATTCCTGGACAAATTCTTGCACATTTTCGTTTGAATCACGAATAACTTTAAGTGCAACAGACCATCACACATTATTAACTCTATCAAACCAAGTTGCCTTATATACAGTTGAAAATCCTCCTTTTCCATATTTTGTGATATTTCGAAACTCATTATAATCAATCCAAGATAATTTAAATCTCTCATCGTCTAATATACTCTTAAGTTCAGGATTGATCTAATCCGGTGATTTATTAGTTTTCAAATGACTTCTATATTTTGTAAACCAATAATTCGCTTCCTGAATATCTCTTTTTGTACCCATACCATTTCGATAAAGGCGAGCAATATTATACATTGATATTTCACTACCCATATTAGCAGCTTTTTTATAGTATTCAAATGCTTTATTATAATCTTGATCAACTCCTGTTCCACTTTCGTAATGACCACCAACGTGACACATAGCTTCAGCATCAACCAAATCAGCCGATCTCTTAAAATACTCAAATGCTTTCTGGTAATTTATTTCTACACCAATTCCATATTTATAACAATGACCAACAGCAAATATCGCATTTGAATTTCCTAAATCAGCTGCCTCCGTATAATATTCAAAAGCTTTCTTTTCATCTTTCTCAACACCGTTACCATGTTGATAATCATAGCCAAGATTATAAAGTTGTTCAGAGTCCATTTTATTTTTAAAGGAAACAAAATTTTATGAAATAGGTGTCCGGAGCATAGTGGAGGACATTAAATGTTTAGTCAAAGTGATACAAAAGTTACAACTATAGTTACGTACGTACATTTTTTGATTAGTTTACTAATTGACTTAGTATTAACTGTAAAAAAGTAGGCTTAAACTTATTTCATTTCTGTCCGCATATTGTATATTAGTGTAACAAATATATAAATTTACTTTACGTACGTACAGATTCGGTGGATTGACAATAGATTAATTGGATGATCTATAACATATATGTTGATGCAACATCACACAAGTTTGCTTTATTTGTCAAGATGCCAATTGAAATTAATTTAAACATGAATATTTGATGAGGTTTCAAGTTGTATTTTTTACTGCCTTAACCTAAATATTGATTATAAAAATATGACAGAACAATCGTCCAATAAAGTCACTCTCGAGTTTTACTGAGTGCCAGAAACTGGCATGTGATGATTCTAAGGCAATGCTTCATCTTGGCTGGCGGTACGAATATGGAATTAACGTAGAAAAGGGCGAACGTAATGCTACCAAAAATCTGCAGAGATGGGATATGATGAGGGAATGTAGCAGGTTGGTTATTGTTATTATATAGTAATTAGAGGACCAATCTAATGCACTTGCGACAGACGTTATAGTGATCAAGATATGGGCGAACGTAAAAGTAATTGTTGATCGGTATAATATCAGCTCATATTCATACATGGAAAATAATTCTAAGCAGGTAAATTAATTTTTGGGAGTAAATAACCAGCATATTTTTAATTTTAAAAAAGGTACCTAATTGAGGTCGAGATCGATAATTGGAAAGCATTCAAATATTATCTAAGTCTGCTGAGTCGGGTAATTCTATGGGAATTTGGAAAACTGCCATTTGTTACTATTACGGAATTGGTGTGGGAAAAAGTAGCAATTGCCGTTATTGGTTTGACAAACGAAATTCATGTTATGAGAAATGTACACTTTGTAATTAATATTTAAAAGTCTTTTTAAATGTAAATTAGGTTTAATGAGCTTGAAATCTATGGAATAACACAACACGGAAACAAAAGAATACTTGGTGGTATTTCAGTACGCATATAATGGAAATTTTACAAGTTTTTAAAAACAAATCTTCAAGATCTTACATGGCGGTTTAAATTAAAACTACTACTAGATATTTCAGATGATTTATCATTTATTCATTAAGTAGGATATATTCATACGGACTTTCACAGCGGTAATATTTTACTACATAAAGGCCCAAGTAAAAGACTGCAATCTTATATCTCAGACTTCTGATTATCTAAAAAGATAATTCAGAAGCTGGTAAATACGGAGTTGTGCCTTATGTCGCTCCTGAAATCTTGATGGGTCAAAAGTTCACAGAAGCGTCTGATATTTATGGTTTCGGGGTCATTATGACAGAGATGTCAAATGTTTGAAGGCCTTTCGATGGTCATGAATTTGATAATGAGCTTGCAGTGAAGATTTGTTTAGGATTGCGACCGGGATTCGCGTCCGAAACCCTGAACTGCTATAAGGAATTGGCTATTTAGTGCATGGATAATGATCCACAAAACAACCTAGCGCTTGGGATTTTTTGGAAAAAATTTCTGATTGGGATGAAAGTATGGAAAGTTCAGATGACATAGATGAAATTAAAAAACAATACTTGGAAGTGGATAAAATAATAGAAGAATTGCCCGATTTTCTCATTTAAAATATCATGACCATATGCATACCTGGAAGCTCATTAGCATGCTAGAACTCAATGGGATAACCAAACCTGTTGATACTGTTGATATTCTCATTATTGATAACTCTAATACTAGTGATATTAATATTGTTCATAAGAATGATGAAATTAATGTTGATAATTTTAGTACTAATAGTACTAAAAAAATTGATATCGATGAAGTTCTTCGTAAATATAGTAAGAATGATACAAAATATCTAGTACAGTTCGTCGAAAATATAGTAAGAATATGAAATTAGTGAACTTTATAATATATTTGGTAGTAGATGTCGTGATAAAATATCATTGAACAAGATGAGCAAATTCAAAGAATTAAAGATATGCTTGATGAATTAACGAGATAAATGTAAAAAAATATTGATTTAAAGATAAAAATTAGAGTAAAATTTAATAATTTTATATCACTTTTTCCTTTTAATGTCTCAACGCATATCTTACATTATCATTGTATACCAGATCAAAGTACAACTAAATCCATCTTCTGACATTACTACCAGCACGAGTATCATCAACTTTGTCATTAGAAAATTTATCATACTTTGGATGCTTCAGTCCGTCTTTGTCACGAGTAGACATAATTTAAAAAAAAGATGCAATTCGTAATTATCGAATCAACCTTCATATTCAACAGATTGATAAACTGAATTGACCAAATTGAATAGATTTTGAACGGTTTGGATTGTACGGTTGATAAACAACGTGTACAGTACAAAATCGTACTAACTCTATGAAATTTGAATGGATATGCGGGTTGCAAATTATCAAGTTACACCTCTAATCGATATACTGTATACCTTAATCGGCCCCGGCCCATAAAGGTACGGGTCGACCCTCAGCCCGCCTGGCCGATGGGCCGGGGTCGGTCCATATCACTAGTTTTAGCACCTATGTATAATTTCTTTTAATAAAATAAACGGGACCTATGGTGTAAAAACACCATAGTGCGTTTTAGTAAAATCCTAAAAAAAATAGAACAAAGTCAATAAATATACAATAATACAGTATAAAGTTTTTTTGTTATAGGCAAAAGAAATATGGTAAATTGTGAGTAAAAACCAGATCAAAACCAATGAGCAAGCAGATACCTACTCAATCATATTTCTAAAAGGTAATAATTAAAAAATTAAAGTTATATTATCAGGAAAGATTGGAAAGAGTTAACTAGTATTAGAACCAGTGGTATGGTTTAGTATTAATGCTCGGCACAATCAAGCAAAAACTTGATAGTCAAATATTTGATTAAGTTCAGATATCAAATCAGATATAACTGCATGTACGTAAGAATATAATAATTTGATCCATGATTGTTTGATATCCGATTCGATCAAGTATATGACCATCAAGTTTTGCTTGATTTGCCGAGCATTATTTGGTAAATTTATTTTTATGTATATCCAAACTTTAATATATACTCATAATATAAAATTCTAACAAAATATATTTAATAAAATAAAATAATTTAGTTAATTCTTGATTTTAAATAATATCTTCAATTACACTTGATGAATTTATATAATTTAAAAATCTAAATATAAAAATCAAATAATACGAGTTATATTGATAAATGAATGGTTATAATGCTTCGCAATAGAAAATATCATCGAATTCAATAGGCTTGCTTGTTTAAGACAATTCTTATTTTTAAAATTATAAAACATATTTTAATTATTATAATATATTATTTATTTTGAAATAATTTTTTAAATCATACCTTTAATTGCTTTTGCTATTTTTTGTGTGTTAATAATTTTGCTAGTGTACATATGATCAGAATGATTTTGAGGAAGTATTGATGATGCTTTAATAATTTCATCAGCATTTAAGAACTGCTTTTTGGTTTCATTTTCATCATCTGAAGCCAAATCTTCAAGCCAACCACTAATTTTTTGATTAATTTCCATTGCACTAGGCCGTTTTTGTGGATCTGAATTCATGCATTGATTTGCCAACTCAACATAACAATCAGGAGTTCCATGAGCAAACACTGGTCGTAAGCCATTGAAAATCTTTACTACAAGTTTTGTATTGAATTCATAACCATCAAATGGCCTTGTCCCAGTTGACATTTCTGTCATAATAATACCAAATCCATAAATATCTGATGATAGTGTAAACATCTGCTCGCCTGATAAAACTTCGGGAGCCACATAGGGCAAGACACCATAAATTTCGCCATCTGCAACATTTTCACATTCGCTTCTAGATAATCCTAGATCTGCGATATAGGTTTGTATATATTCATTAGTGGGTTGGTCTAGCAAAATGTTACCGCTATGAAAATCTGCATGAACGTATTCTGCATCGTCGTGAATTGTATCTAACTCTTCTGCGACATCTTTAAGCATTTGCAATTTAGTCTTCCATGTTAGTTTATTAAAATTTTCTCTTAAATATTTATTAAGACTTCCACTATTAGCATACTTAAATACCATAAAGTATTCTTTTGTTTCTGGATTTTGAGTTATTCCATACATTGCAAGCTTACCATAGTTTAATCTGCACGTCATAAGAGTTTTAAACTTAAGGCATAAACAATGAATTAGTTCAATAAACTTTAATAATTATAAAAGCAACAAATTAACTTACTTCTCTTAAAAAATCAAAATTGTTTTCCTTAGAACTGGTCAACGTCTTGAGTGCAACGATGCTGGATGGTTCACGCGTTTTTACATAATTTTTATCATCACGATCAATTTTTCGTATGCCATCCAGCCAGTATGCTGAATATACAGAGCCAAATCCTCCTTTACCAACCTCTTTAACATCAGATAACCTATCAAATGGAATCCATTCAATCGAATCTTTATATGAAAATGCCCTAAGTTGGTATTCCTTCATGCAATCGTCAATATCCTTATTTCTACTTGTCCACCTTGTTGATATGTCAGGATCGCATGATAGACACCATCCTATATTCGTGTTATCTTCATTACAATATGCACATTTTCCATATGGAGAATATCTTTATAATAAATAATGGTTTATTTTGCATCTGCAGTTTTAAACTTTATATCGAATGTGAATGTAAATAATTTCTGTACTTACCGACTAAATTTTATGTAAATATAATGAGTTGTGTGTAATGGCAAATAAGTATTTACATTCATGAATTGTGAACTTCGTTTTCTGTTTTTATTTCTATCCACTAAATGTTCTTTATACTCACACTCTGAATGAAGATTAATGCGAATGAAATGATTTGTAATGTTAAATAAGTATTTATATTCTTGTTTATGAATTTGTTTGCTGTTATTATTCTAGAAATTATTAAATATTCTTTATACTCACTGACTAAATTAATGCGAATGAAATGATTTTACGTAATAGTAAATAAATATTTATATTCGTGAGCATGTTTTGCTGGTTTTATTTCTGAAATTATTAAATGTTCTTTATACTCACCGACTAAATTAATTCGAATGAAATGATTTGATGCAATAGTAAATAAATATTTATATTAGTGAACATGTTTTTCTGTTTTTATTTCGTTGAATCTTCTTTATACTCACTTACTAAATTAATGCGAATGAAATGATTTGTACGTAATGGCAAATAAGTATTTACGTTCTTGTTACGTGAACTTGGTTTTATTTATAGAAATTATTAAATGTCCTTTATACTCACGGGCTGAATGAAACGATTTATAAATAAATATTTATATTTATTTTTTGTGAACTTATTTTGCTGCTTTTATCTCTAGATATTTTTAAAATGTCCTTATACTCACAACCTGATTGAAATGATTTGTACGCATTGCAAATAAGTATTTATATTCTTGTTTTGTGAACTTTTTTTATGGTTGTAAAATTATTAAATATTTTTATACTCACATACTAAATTAATGTGAATGAAATGATTTGTACGTAATAGTAAATAAATATTTATATTCGTGAACATGTTTTGCTGTTTTTATTTCTAGAAGTTATTAAATGTCCTTTATACTCACCGACTAAATTTAATGCGAATAAATTGATTTGTATTTAATGGCAAATAAATATTTTGTTCTTGATCTGTAAACTTGTTTTACTGCTTTTATTTATTAAATGTTCTTCATACTCACAAACTAAAAGAGAATAAACCGATTTGTACATTATGATATATAAGTTTCTATGTTTTGTTTTGTGAACTTGTTTTTTTGTTTTATTTCTAGAAATTATTAAATGTTTTTTATACTCACAGGCTAAATTAAATGATTAATGCGAATAAAATGATTTAGTCGCAAAATAAATAAGCATTCATGTTCTGAACTTGTTTTGCTATTTTATTTCCAGAAATTATCAAATGTTTTTTATACTCACTCTCTGAATGAAATGATTTATACGAATGAAATAATTTATATGTAGTGGTATTTATGTTTTTGTTTTGTGAACTTTTTGCTGTTTTTATTTCAGAAATTATTAAATTTCTTTATACTCACAGACTAAATAATGCGAATAAAATGATTTGTACGTAATGTTAAATAAATATTTTTATGTTCTTGTTTTGCAAAATTATTTTGTTGTTTTTATTTCGTAAAATTATTAAATACTCCTTATACTCACTCACTGAATGAAATGATTTATACGAAATGGCAAATAAGCACTTTTGTTCTTTTTTTTGAACTTTTGTTTTTTTATTTCTAGCAATTATTAATTATTCTTATACTCACGGGCTGACGGAAATAATTATTTATATTCTTGTTTTGTGAACTTTGTTCCGATGTTTTATTTCAATAAAATATTAAATGTTCTTTATACTCACTCACTAAATGAAATGATAATGAATGGAATAATTTGTACGTAATGGTAAATAAGTATTTATACTCTTGTTTTGTAAATTTGCTGTTTTTATTTTTTAAATGTTCTTCATACTCACTCACTGAATGAAATGATTTATAAGAATTTGAATAATTTGTGCGTATTTGTAAATAAGTATTAGTGTTTTTGTTTTGTGAATTTTTTTTGCTGTTTTTATTTTAGAAATTATTAAAATGTTCTTTATACTCACTCACTAAATGAAATGATTAATGTAAGTAAATAAGTATTTATGTTCTTGTTTTGTGAACTTGTTTTACTATTTTTATTGTATTAAATTTATTTAATGTCCTTTATACTCACTCACTGAATAAAATGATTTACATATACGAATGGAATGATTTATATGTAATGGTAAATGGATTTTTTTTTCTTGTTTTATGA